CCCCCGGCGGGTCGTCGGGGCCGCCCGGTGCCATCCCGCCCCGTGCCCAGGAGAGCGGCCGCCTGGCCTCGCAGATCCGCCGGCTGTACGGGGCGAACCGCCGCGCCGCCCGCCCCTTCTGGCTGTGCCTGACCGAGTTCGCGGCGGGGACGCCGATCTACGAGCAGTGCCTCCGCATGAACGACGGCTTCGCGCGGTACCTGGTGAGAGCCGAGCCCCGCGCCCGGCAAAAACACCCGCGGTGGGGACTCCTGAGCCCCCTCGGGAACCTGAATCTCATTTAAAACTAGATAATTGTTGCTGTTCTCCCTTCCTCAAACCACACCAAAGGCTTTCGATGGGGAGAGAATTTAATGGAGTTTGAGATATGTGTTGTTCAGTGCCCGTACAGAAACGTTTTCCAGTTGAAAAAGGAAAACACAAAGCCAGTGTTTCTGTAGGCAGTTATACATCCAAACAGCAGTGTCAGTCCCAGGATATCTGTGTCTGGGAGGTTATTTATTCTGGCAGATAGACCTTGGGCTGATGGGTTGCTCCTCTCCCTGCCTTGTGTTTTTCAGATGGACACAACTCCAGAGAGTTACCTGGACCTATTTCCTTTGGATGCCATTGTTTATCTCACTCCTGACTCTGAAAATGGTAAATATTTCACATGCTGCAGGCAAGGGCTAAAGGTTGAATTTCAGGAATCTCTTTTTGAGGCGGTTTTGTGCCTCAGGCGAGTGGGTTCCTCACATTCCCAGTCCCCTATTGCACAAGATGTGCTGTGTGCTCAGATCTGGTGCTAAATCTGCTCCCATGGGACCTGCCTGTCCCCGGGCCCCAGTCCCTGCTGTCCGTGGGAGTGGGGTCTGCTGGGAGAGCAGCACCTTGCAGGATTCACTGCTGAGTGGGGCTGAGCCAGTGTCCTGTTCCTAGTCCTTGAAGACATCGACCCGGATAAGGTGTACGTGCTGGGAGGGCTGGTGGACGAGAGCATTCACAAGGTGAGTGCTGCCTGCTCCATTCCCTCACGAGAGCAGAGATATCCCGGTAGGGTTGCTGCCACCAGCATCCCTTTTCCCTCAGATCCTGCCCAGACCCAGCAGCGGGCCGGGCCAGGCTGCAGCAGTGCGGGTGCCACGAGGCCCAGGGCAGGTTTTGGCTCTGTGGCTGCTCATGCCACGCGTGTCTGTGTGTCCCTGCAGCAGCTGACCCTGCAGAGGGCACGGCAGCAGTGCCTGCAGACAGCCCGGCTCCCCATCCGTGAGTACATGGTGAAGGCCCCCAACCCCAGGAACTACCACTCGGAGACACTGGCCATCAACCAGGGTGAGGGGCTGCTCTGGGGCTGTGGGGACACGCTGGAGTGTGGTGTGATCCCTGCTGATCCCTGTTCCGAGGTCTGTGTGCTCCCTGGGGGGACAATCTGCTGGGGGGCTGTTGTTGGGAGTTTGGGGGCCTGTGCCAGGCTCAGCCCAGGGAGGCTGTTGGTGTCCTGTCCTGTACCACCTTGGGCTGGCACACTTGGTCGCAGCAGAGGATTGCAAGGTGGAATTGCAAGGCAGCTGCAGATGGGCTCGTGTCCTGGGCCGGCTCTAGAAAGTTCTTGCCCCTGAGGTGGCTGGGGGCTCTGTGTGCCCAGGGGAGCCCTGAGGTGGGGTCTCAGCACCCAGGAGTGATGGTGGGAGCACAGCAGGTGTGGCCCCGTACAGGGGGTACCATCAGCCACACAGACAGGTGGCACAGGTCAGGCAAAACAGTGACCGAGGGCACCTTGCTATAGTTGACACAGACTCCACTTTGCCCAGAGCTCCCTGAAGTCCTCTCCAAAATACCTGTCTGCCCCTGGGTGGGCTGCCTGTGGCACAGACTCTTCAGGTGTTACGGGGGGGACCCTCTCTGGGTCAGCTGCCACCCCTCCCTGGTGTTTGGTGGGCGTGCAGAGCTGCTGGCACAGGTGTCACAGCACGTGTGTGACTCAACACCTCTCTGCTCCTGACAGTCTTCGACATCCTGAGCACCTACTACGAGACACGGAGCTGGCCAGAGGCCCTGAGGGCTGGAGTCTCTTCTGGAAAAGGCTTCGTGCTACGGGAGGCAGCGGAACAGGTGGAAACAGCCCAAGGAAACTCTTTATTTTGTGGTGAGGAGCTGCACAGGCAGGAGGCACCGGCGTGACTGGGCACAGGGAGCACAGTCGCTTGTCAGAGCAAGGGACCTCTTCAGAGCAACACCTTCTACCTCAGCTGGATAATCCCCATCCCCCTGGGCAGGGAACAAGAGCTGGTGGAGCCTGGGATCAGTGAAAACTGACGTGAATTCAGTTTTGCTTCCTTGCACCTGTTGGTTTGTGACTCCTGCACCTACACTTGCTCTGGGACAGGGAGGAGAGCCTTGATGTGTTTCCTTCATTTTAGTTAAACAGTGAGTAAGGTGAAGTTAGGATTGCAAAGCTTATGGGCGAAGAAAATCCCTCCCCATGGGCCAGGACAGTGCTGGTCCCACAGGAGAATGCAGGATGGGAGGCAAGGGCACCATATCCCCACAACTTAAACCCAGCTGAAGACTTGGTGAGTTGTTGAAGCCTGTAGCTAGTTCTACGCATCTAATCTAAAATAAAACGTTTAGATCCCCATTGTATCCTTACAGTTACTATGTGTGGTACCTTGTCATGTGTGACATGCTCAGGTGTGTCCTGCTGGGAGGTACCTGGGCTGGGCTGTGCCCTGCACAGAGCAGGCACACGTCCCACAGCCCCAGCAGGAAGCATGTTCGTGCAGCTGTGTCCATGTGTTACCTCAGCCATTGCTGCCAAAAGAGACCCAGAGCCTCACGGCCACTGGCAGCGAGACCTGAAGGCCGTCTGAGGTAACTGTGGTTATGTGTTTTTCATTTCTTTTCACAGCAGGAGTGTCTCACACACCCGGGGTTGTGCCCAGGTGGGGCTGTCAGAGGGGGCGCAGCAACAGCTGCTGGGGGGCTGCTGTGGTTTAACCCCAGGCAGGGGTTAACCTCTGCTTATCCCCAGGTTAACCCCCAACAGGGGCCCGGGGTGTTGTGGTGTCAGTGGTGGCTGTGCCCCGAGGGCTCTTGGCAAGCTGGAGGTGGAGGTGACCCCCTTGGGCAAACCAGCCCGAGGGCACTGCAGTGCTGCCCCTCGGGGGGTGCAAAGTGAGACCACCTTCACAGCTCATACCTGGCCAGGGCGAGCTGCACCTGGTGGGAGTGGGGACGGAGGCTGGTCCTTGCCCACGGAGGCCGTGGAAGGGTCACTGCACAGCTCTGACAGTGGCATTTTGGTGTTGGGGCTTTGCTGGTTCCTTCTGGCAGACCCAGAGCTGTGAGTAGCACGGGGCTGGGGGGTCAGTCAGGGGCTGTCTCATGCATCAGCAAACAGAAAGAGAGTTGCTGCTGACACAGGAATTGCAGTGGAAGAGAGGGAGACGTTGCTGCCTCCTCAGCCTGGGACAACCCTTCCTGCCCTCACATGGGAAAGTGGTTGAATATGGGATCGCTGCATTCCCTTGGCCACAAAAGGTGGGCAGAGCCACCTGGGGTCCTTCACATTAGGCCAGGGTGGGGTTTGATGTCCCAGAGCCTGCCTGGGGATCCAGGAGCGGGTGAAAGGCAGGCCAAAAGGGTCCTGTCCTTCCCCACAGGTGACAGAATGTGGCTGAGACAACCCCTTGAGAGAGGACAACACCTGCCCGGGCGCAGGGAGTGAGGGATGAGCCTGGGGCAGGACACACAGGCCCCTGCAGCGCTCCAAGAGCACCCCTGGGCACAGCATCTCCTGGGGAACCCAGCTCCCCGTGGCACCTCTGGCAAAGGACGTGTCCTCCCATGGCCGTCCCGGGGCTGTGGGGCTGCACGTGGCCATGGGGGACAGCCCGAGGTGGGCAGAGGGCACACGGCTGGGCTCCGTCCCCTCCCAGTGCCGCCGTGTGCCCCCCGCCCAGCCCCTCACAGCCACGGGGGTGCCCTGAACTGCTGCAGGAGGCAGAAGATGGCAGCTGAGAGGGCCATGTGCTGGCGGGCGAGGAGCTTGGCCCCCAGCTCCGGGCAGCCCTGCCCGTGGAGCTGCTGGTGGACAGCCTGCACCAGCCCCTGGTAGGTGCCCACCACGTCCCCCAGCGCGGCCCCCAGCTCCCGCTGCCTCTGCCTGCAGCGCCAGCAGTGGGTCACCTGGAAGCAGGTCACTGCCAGGTGAACCAGGCGGTCGAACGTCGCCCTCAGCGCCCGCTGCACCTCCGTGAGGGGCTGCTCCGGGCTCAGCAGCGCCTGGCAGCTGGACAGCAGGTCCCGGGAGGCCCAGCCCAGGGCACCCTTGCTGTCTGCGCCCTGCTCCATGCACTGATCCTGCAGGTGGGTGGCCTGGTTCCCGGAGAGCTTCCCCACCACCTCCTGGAGCTCGGCAGTGTAGGCCAGGAAGTGGGAGAAATCCACGGGGCTCAGCCACGCCTGGTCCTTCAGCTGCCCCAGCGCCTGGACGTGGGGGTCCCGCCCGGCCCCGGCCCCGGCGATGGACACGGGGAACCCGCCCACGGGGGTCCCGGGGAGGCTGCAGCTGCTGGCCGGGGGGGTGGTGAGGGGCCCCAGGAACGGGGGGGGGCTGGTTTCGTGCTCCCCCTTGTCGGGCTGGTGGAAGCAGCCGATGTAGGGCAGGCGGCAGCCGCAGCCGTCGGTGCCGTGTGGGGACAGGGAGCTCTGTGCTGGGGAACACAGAGAGCTCTGCGCTGGGGAACAGCCCCGGGGCCTCGCCGGGACGGGGCAGGAAGGGGTCTGCTCACCCTCCTCCTCGTTAAAGCAGAGGAAGGAGTGTTTCACAGCCATGTGCCCTCCTGCCTCTTTCCCCAACGAGCCCAAGGGAATCGGGCCTGAGGAGTCAAACAGCCCAGGAGATGGAGCCAGGCAGGAGTCCTTCCCCACCTCGGGAGCCTGTTCCCCGGGAAAAGAAGCCTGTGCAGGCTGTGGCTGCTGTTGGGCCACATTCCCTATGTGTCCTCCGGGCTCCCTATCACCATCACCCACCCCCAAGCTGCTCAGCAGCTCCCGCCCAAAGCCTGCTTCAGCTGGGCGTGTCGGCATCTCCCTTCCCACAGCATCGGCCCCTGCACACCCACCGGTTCTCTGAGAGGCCAAAGGCACGAGTGGGACATCCACCCTGTCCTGCGCCAGGCTGAGTGATGCCAGGTCTGTCCTCACCCCAAACGAGAGCCAGGAGAGGCGGGTGAGGACCCCCGAGGCACCACAGTCTGCCAGGAGCTGGGCTGCCTCTGGGAACCCCGCGTGGCCCTCGTGCACCTTCCTCAGGGCCTCCCCATTCACCACCTGCGGGCTCCTCGCCCGGGGCTCGGGTGTGTCACCGCTGCCCCCGGCACAGCAGCTGCTCTCCTGACAGGGAGCCGGGAGCAGCCCCTGGCCCTCGGCCACCTCCTGGGCAGGGGCCACGCCGGGGCCGGGAGCCAGCAGGAGTTGGTCAGCAGGGCAGGTCCCCTCCTGGCCACAGGATGGGGTGGCAGTGCCAGCCTTGTGCGGGGTGACCTCGTCCCCCTCCTCCAGCGCCCCCGGGGCCGGCCCGCCCTCAGCGGGCACACGGCTTCCCTGGCTCAGCGCCCCGGGATCTGCCTCCAGCGGGGAGTTTTCCTGGGCAGCTTGGCTCTGTCCTCCGGGAGGGAGCTCCTCTTCCTCTGCGGGCAGCGAGGGGGGGTGTTCTGGCGGGAGGCCACTGCCCTCCTCCCCGCGCTGGTCACCAGGGCAGCGAACGGCCGAAATGGATGAAGCCACCCCCTCCATCACCGACTTGGTCTCCATGGTGTCAGGCTCCATCTCCATGGGGTCACAGCAGGAGTCTGTGCCAGCAGCGTCCCTCTGGGCCAGGGTGGCCACAGGAAGGTCCATGTCCTTCCCCGTGTCCTCACGGAGCAGAAGGCTGGTCCCCATGGAGGGGAAACTGACCTGGGAGGTGTAAGTGGTTTTCAGGAAAGACCTTCTCTTCCTCAGGCTCTTGGCATACGTCAGCTCCTTCTCCCCCCTGTGCTTCTCCCTCACTGTCTGCCCTGTTGATGGGTCCTCCCCCAAGCTGTAGCACCTCAGTCTCTTGGGGATGCAGGAGGAGTTCTCTGTACCCTCCTGGGATGTCATATCATAGCCTGATGGCAAGAAAAAGAACACAGAAATCAGGAAACAGCTCCAGGCAGCAGAATATCCATATGTCTGTGCAGTGGGCCAAAAAACCTCTCAGCACAGCACTTGGAATCACAAACACAAGTGTCCAGCAGCAACACCTGGCTCCCAAGGGCCAGGGGAAACCATCTCTCATGATCAAGCACCTCCCTGGTGTCAGAGATGTCAAGGAAAAGGCAGAGCCTGTGTCTGTGGGTACAAGCACCAAAGCCCAGGGTTAGTTACGAGGGCTCTGGGCAGTCCCCTCCCAGGTGTGCTGGAGTTGTTTCACCTGATGGCAGATGTGGCTGTAACTCCCCGGTTAAATTTGGTGACAGCAGCAGCAGCTACAAGAGCACTGCCCATGGCTGTAGGGTTATCATCAACTAGGAACACGGTCAGAAATTCCCAGCTGGATATTTAGATGATAAAAACTTCCAGAGATGACTATTTTTTGTCTGAACACAGTAGAGTGATGATGCACTAATGCAAAAGTCAAAACTGTTTAATGGCACAAACCAAATTCTTAAGAGGTTCAGTTAGTACTGGCAAAGTAGAAAAAGGAATCCTCTCCCTTGTGAGGATATACAATGACTGGGGAGTTGCTCAGCCTCAGGAATCCCTGATCCAGCTACATAACACGTCCCTGACCCGAATATGACTTTTGGTCTTGGGAAACAACGTTTTACAGGTTTTGGCTCTCCTCAGCTCAGAGGAAGAGAGCAGAGATTCCAGAACGCCACACTCCTCTGAAAACTGACTTTTCCTGCGACCCAGTGCTTGGATGTGACAACAAATCCCCCTGCAATGTCATCGTACACCCGCTGAGGAGTGGCTTGTGGAGAATGGGCGTTTGAAGGTCCTTCAAAAATCTTGGGGAAAGTTTTCTGGAAGGTGATTCCCCCCGGCAGACCGACGGGAGAACAGGCAGCGCCCCAGCCCAGGTGGGAGGGAGGTGACCCGCACCCCGCGGGTGTGGGGTTACCTGCCAGCGCGCCCGGAGGGCTGAGCCTGTCGGCGGCATCGTAGAACTCCTCCTCGGAGCTGGAGTCGCCGAACCCCGGGGGCGGCTCCAGGACGAGGTGTCCGTGCCCGGCGGGGCGGGCGCTGCCGGCGGGCGATGTGCCGTAGCACAGGCTGTAGTAGCCCGTGGTGTCCATCTCGGACAGCCGCGTCTCCAGCGCGCTCGGCCCCGCGCCCTGCTCGGAGGGGCTGCCCCCGGGACCCTCCGCCGACGGCACCTGCAGGAAGCAGAGATAGTCCCGGGCCCCCGCCCCGACGGGGCTCCCCGCCGCGCACACCGGCACGAAGCTCCTGTCCGAGCTGCTCATCTCCTGCACGGTCGGCGTGTAGAACTGGAACAGCTCCGGCCCGGAGGAGGAACACGCCTCCAAGCCATCCTCCTCCAGCGCGTCCATGGAGTCGCTGGAGCCGCTCGTCTTGAAGCCGCGGCTCTCGGAGTTGGCCGAG